TGGGATGGTTTACAGCTTATTAGTTTAATTTATTAATTAATTTAGGATTTTGTAATTCTTGGACTGTAATATTTATTTGGGAACTGTATATTATTTATTTCGGACCCTCTGCGCGAGGGCAAACTTGTAATAGTGTGCGTGTGTGTGATGTATGGTCTTCTAACCCATGTCTTTACCACGTCTCCTTTTTTACCTACAGTTTATGATGGTTTTAGTTTAGGGCATATGTTTCAATTAGCATCTAGTATGATATCCATGCTTGCAATTATTCATACTGTTTGCATGCACCGGGCTCGGCGCATCATACGTAACTCATTGTATTTTCAATTTCAAGTTGAATACATGTTATCGTATATTGCATTCTCATATGCCATTTTAGAATAAGCCGAGCCTGTTTAGTTGCATTTTGCATGTGGTTGCATTAGGTATTCTTATAATTAGGATCATGCATGGAGTTTTCTAATTAGCTTCTTCTTTGGCTTGAGTAACTACGGTAAGTTTTTATGCTTTAGCATCCTTGCATGTGTGTGAGTGACTGCCAGAATAGTATGCTTACCATGAGGCTATGTGCTTATTGATATAACTGCCTGAATGCCTGTGGAGTGAAGGTTGGGTTTGAATTGGAAAATTCCAAACTCGTGTGTTTTAGCACTGAGTGGCAAAATCAGTTTTCTAAGCCAGCTTGAGTGTCAAATCCGCGTCTTAGCCTACTTGCGCGGTAGCACATCAAATCCATTTCAAAACAAACGAATGTTTTGTTCCAACTTAGGCATCCAGTCTATACTTTATGGTGCGCATCACATTATAAATTCCTAGGCTAATAAACCGGAATAAGAGCACATTTTTCTCAAAAACTCGATATCTGTTAGTAGATGGCCAATCTTTGATCGGAGGCGAGCGGGGTGCTCATCAATGACCTTCCCTAATCGTAACCCAAGTTTCCGAGCCGAAGCAACTTTGGTGATGACGGACACGTGGCCTTAGGTAACCATGAGTCAGGGTTTCCTAAATTTTCCCAAAATAAAATTTTAGGTGGCGACTCTGTATCTGGCAAAGCAGTTCCATGTTTGCACTTCTTTCAAAATCTGTTTTTTCAAAACATTTGCCTGGATTTGACAGTCTTTGCATGTTTCAGATCATTAGAACCGTGACAATTGAGCCGAACTGTAGTGAGCCAATGAACAAAACGGATGTCTCCCGGGACGTTCGGGACGTCTTTACAGGGGCCAAGCTAATTAATTCCTCGAACGAAAAGAGGAGAAGGTGGAGAAGCACAGAGAAAGTTAGAGAGAAACTTTCTCCATCCTTTCTATCTTTTTTGGTTCTAAGAAACTAATTCGCTTTGGGACCCTAAACCTGTTTCCATTAGCTTAAAGTGGCCAAGTTTTAACTCCAACAAACATCTTGCTTAGCATCTAAGAAAGAAAATTTACTAAGTAATTGCCATTAACGATATTAGTAACATAAAGCACCAGCATTTAAGGTTTTCCAAATTCCCAACTGTTCAATTCTCAAGCCAAAAGGACGAATGTGGAATTCTCTATTGAATTTTTTTTTCCCGTTTCTCTTTCTTTCTCTAACTGTCCTCTTTATCTCTCAAGAAAAAATTTCTCTCTAACTTTCTCTGTGCTTCTCCGTCCTCTTCTCTTTTGTTCTAGGAACTAATTAGCTTGGCCCTAATTTTCCTTAGTTTAAGTGGCCAGTTTACTCAAACTAATCTGCTGCCTCTGAGAAAGAGAATTTACTGAGTAACTGTAGCTGACGATATTAGTTTAACTTAAACACCCATTTATGATTTTCCAAATCACATAAGTGTTCAATCTCAACTCCAAAAGGATGAATGTGAATTCCCTTTGATTTTCTTCTACTTCTCTTTCTTTCTCTTAACTTTCTCTTCTTCTAGCTCTCAAGATAAAAGTCTCCCTCTAACTTTCTCTGTCTTCTCCATCCTTCTCTCTTTCGTTCAAGGAACTAATTAGCTTGGACCCTAATTGTTCCATTAGCTTAAGTGGCCAAGTTTAAGTCAAAATAATCTTGCTTAGCCTTCAAAATAGAGAATTTACTGAGTAATTATCATATTAGTTTGACTTAAGCACGTCATTTAAGGTTTTTCCAAGTCACCTAAGTGTTCAATTCCAAATCCAAAAGGATGAATTTGAAATTCTCATTGATTTTCTTCCTCTTTTGTTTCTTTTCTTTAACTGTCTCTTCTAGCTCTCAAGAAAAAGGTTTCTCTCTAACTTCTCGGCGCTTCTCCATCCTTCTCTCTTTTTTGTTCGAAAACTAATTAGCCTCGGCCCCCTAATTGTTTCATTTGTTCAAGTGGCGAAGTTTAAATCAAACTAATCTTGCTTAGCCTCTAACAAAGAGAATTTACTGAGTAATTTGTAACTTAATTTATTCACCCAAAATTGTAACTTAACACCATTAGTTTAACTTAAACACCTCATTTAAGGTTTTCGAAATCTCCTAAGTGTTCAATTCTCATGTCCAAAAGTTGCATTTGAAATTCCGCCTGATTTTCTTCCTATTTCTCTTTTCTTTTCTCTAAACTTTCTTGTCTAGCTCTCAAGAAGATAGTCTTATTGTCTCTCTTCTAACTTTCTTTGTGCTCTCTCCATCCTTCTCTCTTTCGTTCGAGGAACTAATTACTGCCTAGCTTTGGGCCCCTAATTGTTTCATTTGTTCAAGCGCAAGTTTATATCAAACTAATCTTGCTTAGCCTCTAACAAAGAGAACTTACTGAGTAATTGTAACTTAACAACATTAGTTAACTTAAACACCTCTTTAAGGTTTTCGAATCTCCTAAGTGTTCAATTCTCAAGTCCAAAAGGTTGAATTTGAGTTCCGTTTGATTTTCTTCCTATTTCTCTTTCTGTTCTCTAACTTTCTTGTCTAGCTCTCAAGAAGATTAGTTTCTCCCTTACTGTTCTCTGTGCTTTCTTCCATCTTTCTCTGCTTTCGTTCTAGGAACTAATTAGCTTGGGCCCCTAATTACGTTCATTAGTTAAGTGGCCAGGTTGAAATCAAAACTAATCTTGCTTTAGCTCTAAAAAAGAAATTACGTTAAGTTCTACAGGAGGTAACTGTAGCTTAAAGATATTAGTTCAATTTAAACATCTCATCTGAGGTTTTCAAAATCACTCAAGTGTTCAATTCTCAAGTCTGAAAGGATAAATTTGGAATTCCTGTAATTTCTTTTCGTATTTCTCTTCGATTTTCTCTACTTTGTCTTCTAGCTCCAAGAAAGAAAGTTTCTCCTAACTTTATTCTGTGCTTTCTCCATGCTTCTCCGTTCTGTTCTAGAACTACATAAGCTTGGGGTCCACGTAAATGTGTTCATTCGCTTAACTGGGCCAAGTTTAACTCATCGAATCTTCATGCATAGCCACTGAGCAATAGAATTTACTGAATATATGTAGCTTAAGCGATATTGTTTAACATAAGCACCACATTTAATGGTTTCTTAAATCATTTAAGTGTTAAATTCTCAAGCCCAGAAGGATGAATTTGAATTCCCTTTGACTTTCTTCCAATACCTCTTTCTTCTCCTCTTATTACTTTCTTCCTGCCTCTCAAAGCAGAAAGTTTCTAATCTTTCTCTGTGCCTCTCCATCCTTCTTCCTTTTGTTCCGGGAAACAAATTAGCTTGCACACCTAATTGTTTCATTTTCTCGAGTGGCCAAGTTTAACTTAAACTAATCTTGCTTAGCCTCCTCCAAGAGGAATTTACTGAAGTCATTGTCGCATAACGGATCTAGTTTTCGAAATCACTTAAGCGATTTAATTCTCAAGTCTTAAAACTGATGAATTTGAATTCCCTTTAATTTTCTTCCTATTTTCTGTCTTTTCTTTTAACTTTCTCGTCTACCTCTCAAGAAGCATAGTTTTCTCTCCAAACTTTCTCTGTGCTTCTCCCATCCTTCTATCTTTTGTTCTAGAAAAAAACTAATTTTGCTTGGACCCATAACTTTCACATTTACTAAAGTGGCCAAGTTTTAACTCCACAAAATCTTGCTTAGCCATCTAAGAAAGAAAATTTAACTAAGTAATTGCCACTTAACGATTATTAGTTAAACAGAAAGCACCGATTTAAGGTTTTCCAAATTCCCTAACTGTTCAATTCTCTAAGCCAAAGGAGAATGTGAATTCTCTCTATGATTTTTTTTCTCCCGTTTTCTTTCTTCTTCTCTAACTTCTCTTCTATCTCTCAAGAAAAAAAGTTTCTTCTCTAACTTTCTCTTGTGCTTCTCCGTCTTCTCTTTTGTTCTAGGGAACAATTAGCTTTGGGCCCCTAATTTGTTCCATTAGTTTAAAGTGGCCAAGTTTAACTCAAACTAATCCTGCTTTGCCTCTGAGAAAGGAGAATTTACTGAGTAAACTGTAGCCTGAACGATATTAGTTTTAACTTAAACACCACTTTCATGATTTTCCAAATCACATAAGTGGTTCAATCTTCAACTCCAAAAGGATGAATGTGAATTCCCTTGATTTCTTTCTACTTTCTCTTTCTTTTCTTAACTTTCTCTTTTTCTTCTACTTCTCAAGAATAAAAGTCTCCCCTCTAACTTTCTCTGTGCTTCTCCATCCCTTCTCTCATTTCCTTCAGGAACTAATTAGCTTGGGACCCTAATTGTTCCATTAGCTTAGTGGCCAAGTTTAAGTCAAATTATCTTGCTTAGCCTCTAAAATAGAGAATTTACTGAGTAATTATCGATATTAGTTGAACTTAACACGTCATTAAGGTTTTCCAAGTCACCTAAGTGTTCAATTCTCAAATCCAAAAGGATGAATTGAATTCTTCATTGGATTTTTCTTCCTCTTTTTTGTCTTTTCTTAATGTCTCTTCGTAGCTCTCAAAGAAAAAGGTTTTCTCTCTATAACTTCTCGGCGCTTTCGCCATCCTTCTCTCTTTTTTGTTCGACAAACTAATTAGCCTCGGCCCCTAATTGTTTCATTTGTTCCAAGTGGGCGAAGTTAAATTCAAATCTCTTTTGCCACCGACGGTTTTGTACCGGTGGATTTGTTTAATCGATCTCAAGTCGGCCACCGACAGTCGTGAACGGGTGTGCTTTGATTCCGAGACGATTATTCCTTTGTTTTGTCCGGAATATCCGAAAGTGTGTGAATTCAGTACACTATGTGTAAATAACTGTTCAGTGCCATTATATTCTGTAATTGGGGCTCTGGGGATGTGTAAACTGTGCTTAATATGTGATTGACTCCTTTGATATTGTCCTTGACATAATGGGGATTTGTATATGCATTGCCTTATGCTTTTGATGATTATCAGATAATATGGAAAGACTCGATAGAACAGGGGATCGAATGTGGACTGAATTGTAAACCGTAAACTGTTGAATGAATTGAGGACACGTGTATTGTGTTAGAAATTGATTGCTTCGATGCTACCTTTGTCGATTCGGGAATCAATGTCTAGATCCACTTCATATTCCTGAAGACTTTTGGTTAACCTTGGATAACTGTGATGAGTCACTAAACTGAGTACTGAATTGGGTTGTGAATTGCGAAATTATTGAGGAATGAATTGAACTTCTGTGACAAGGAAATGGATCAAACTTCTATGGTAAGGTTAGTTGGCATTTGAAACAAATATGTTGGCAACCTATTATGAAGAAGGAAATTGTTGAATTTGTGTCTGAATGTTTTCGATGCCAATGAGTCAAAGTTGAATAACAGATATTGGTGGAACTACTGCAACCTCTCGTTATTTCGAAATGGAAATAGAAATATGTGACTACGAATTTCATTGTGGGACTACCTCGGACGCTCAAGGTGTGAGTCCCATTTGGGTTATTATATATGGAATTACTAAATTTGCTCTTTTTTTCCCTGTAAAATTTTTGTATGATACTTGTAGCCTAGCCACTATTTACATCGATAAGATTGCTCGTTTGGATGGGGTCCCAGTATCTATTGTTTTAGACAGAAATTCTAAAATGTATTTGACTTCTGACAAGCCTTTAAAGGCAATGAGAACTGAATTGGGATTCAGCGCTGCTTTCCATCTGCAAATCGATGTATAATCAGAAAGAACTATTTAGACTCTGGGAGGAATGCTCCAAATGTGTACTTTAGATTTTCGGGGAATTGGAAAAATCTATCCATCGTTGGCAGACTTTGCTTACAACAATGGCTCACACTCTAGTTTCGCCATGGCACCATACAAGCCTTGTAAGGTAAGTCTCTGACTGATTGAGAACAGAGCGTTGCTTGACTTTGAGGCTAAGCAGTAAATGACTATCAAAAAGGATTGGAACCATTGAATGAAAAGTGTTCCGAATTGTTTTCGACTAAATGTGAAATCAGTTTGGGGGACCAAACTTCTTAAAGGGGGAAAGACTGTGATAACCCTGTTCCGTAATTAGCTAATTGGTCCTTATTATGAGTTTGATTATATGTCTAATATGATTTTGCGTGCCATTATGTGAAAATGTGTGATTTTGAATTTCTATCTGTTCACCGTAGAAATATATATCTGCTCATCTATTTTGGGAATTAAATTGAAGGCCTTATCGGCCACGGAACCTGAAATTGATTACGCCATTGTGATTGGCATAATTTTTAGAGCCTACGGTAAAATTTAATTAGAAATTGATTCGGATCAGATAATTAGATTAATTAGTAGTGTAGTGCTCAAATTGTTTAATATTAAATAATTGTGACTAGTGGGAATTTATGTAGAAGGGCACTATACACTTAGTTCCAATGCTTGAGCTCAAGAATCAGATTTTGTACCGAGAGAGAGAGAGAGAGAGAGAGAGAGAGAGAGAGAGAGAGGGTTGGATATAGAGAGAGAAAGGGAGAGCATTGTGTAATCTTGGCTCAAGGTTTGGGAATTTGAAGATTAAACTCAAGAATTGGCTAGAGTTGGGTGTTGAAGCCTCTAGGTAAGTGAATTCATGAATTTTAAGTTATCATCTTGTGAATTCAAGTTTGAATAATGGTCAAGAACATGGATTAAATTCATTATAAGGAAATTGAGTTGATTTTGTTGTATTTGAAGTCATGGAATGCATGCATGTGCATAATTGTTACAATTTTGGGTGTTCTAGCATGTAACATGTTAAAAATGAAGAATAGAGCACCAAATCTCACATGCATAAGTAGGTTTGTGTACCTTCATGATTTGGAGCATCATTTGTACCATTCGTAACAGAAATGAAGTCAAAATTTACATGCAAGCCTGATTTAGAAGAATTTCATGTATTTAAGCATCATTTGACCTATTTGAAATGGAATTAGAGTTAAAAGATTGCATGCATGTTTGATTTTTGAAGATATGAAGCTCATATGGGATTTGAAAGCATAAACCATGATTATACAAGAATGTTGATTGATTTTGGAGAATTGAACCATGATTTTGAGGAATTAGCTTCATATTGTTTGTGTACCCTTGTAATATAATGTGTTTATATTTTTTTGGGACTCAAATTATGAGTTGAGACCCTTGAACATCAAAATTGAACTCCAAGAACAGTTCTGGAATTTCCAGAAAGTTTGATGTCCGCTCGAACGGGGAAACCGCCGCTCAAGCGTGAATTTCGTGCTCCCAACACTTTTTGCAGACATGGTGTCCGCTCGAGCGAGGAAGTTCACGCTCGAGCGGGGAACCATGTAGAGAGGCCTTCCGCTCGACTGTCAGAATGCACGCTCGAGCGTAAATTCGGCATAGCCAGTACTTTTGCAGGCCTCTTGGGTCCGCTCGAGCGGGGACCCTATTTTCTGAAATTATGGAAAGGCATTATGTGTTTCATTTTCCGTTCTCTTTCACTTCTAAGCACTCTTAGGCATACATTGATTATTGTAATTGAGTTAAAGAGATAAGAATGAAGCCTAAAGAGGAATATGTGAATTAAAGAACAAATTGAATTATTTGTGACCCATATGTGTTATATGATGTGTAGGGTCAAACTCCAGGGCAAATCCACAAGCCGATCACTGTGAGTAATATCTTCACGAGATGTTTGAAATATGTTGTTGTCCAATCGTTTACTCTATGTAGGTTTTGTAAGTTCATTAATTTGAATGGTGGACGACGATTGACATAAATGATTGGGCCGAAGGCCAATTGACATGAATGATTGGGCCGAAGGCCGATTGACATAAACAATTGGGCAGAAGGCCGATTGACATGAATGATTAGGCCGAAGGTCGATTGACATAAATGATTGGGCCGAAGGCCGATTGACATAAATGATTGGGCCAAAGGCCGTTTTGACACAAATGAAAGTTTGACATGCATGAATGGGTCAGAGGCCAGTTTGACATGCATGAATGGGCCAGAGGCTAGCTCGACATGAATGAGAGTTTGAAAGGCCTAAAGGCCAGTTTGACACGAATAACAATTTGACACTAATGAATTGGGCCCAAGGCCGTTTGATGTGTTTGGAACCGCAGTTACTTAACTTACATATGTCTATGTATGTATGTATTAGTAGAAATATGAATTGGGCCCAAGGCCGTTTGATGTATATTGTTCCAATGTATATTCTTTATTTGATATTTTTCACTAGGCTTTCGCTCACGCTCATTCATGTGTTTGTAGGTGAGCCAAGAAAACTACATTGTATTTCAATTTCAAGTTGAATACATGTATCGATTGTTGCATCTCATATGCCATTTTGGAATAGCCGAGCCTATTGTTGTTGCATTTTTGCATGTGTTGTATTAGGCATTCTTAGCATAAGTTAGGATTCATGCATGTTTTCTAATTAGCTTCTTTCTTTGGCTCGGAGTACTCGGTAAGTGTTTATGCTTTAGCATCCTTACATGTGTGTGAGTGATTGCCATGATAGTATGCTTACCATGAGGCTATGTGCTTATGTGATATAACCGCCTGAATGCCTGTGGGTGAAGGTTGGGTTGCTTGAGTTGGAATAATTCGTCGAAACCCGTGTTTTAGCCTACTTGCGAGTAGCAAACTTTAATCCATTTTCAAAACAAACGGATATGCGATGCTTTGTTCCAACTTAGGCAATCCAGTCTATACTTGTATGTTGTGCGCATCACATAATAATTCTAGGCTAATAAACCGGAATAAGAGCACATGTGTTTTCAAAAACTCGATATCTTGTTTAGTAGTGGCCAATCTTTGATCAGGCGAGCGGGGGTGCTCATTGCATGACCTTCCCTAATCGTACCCAAGTTTCCGAGCCGAAGCAACTTTAGTGATGACGGACACGTGGCCTTAGGCATGAGTCAGGGTTTCCTAAATTCTCTCAAAATTAGGTGGCGACTCTGTATCTGACAAAGCAGTCCATGTTTGACACTTCTTTCTAAAGAATCAGTTTTTCAAAACAATTTTCCAGATTTGGACTCTTTGGTGATTTATCAGTCTTGCATTGCACTTTGCGAGATCAGATTAAGAACCGTGACATTTGAGTTCGAACTGTAGTGAGCCCAATGAACAAAACAGGATTTCTCCCGGGACGTTCGGGGACGTCTACAATAGCTTGATAAAAAAATATCATTTTCATTTTCATATGATTCTATTTTTGTTTTTAAGGAAAATAATATTTGTATGGTTGAATATTATTTTTATATTAATTGTATAATTTGATTTAATATTTTTACTAGTCTTTACGTTTTTTCTTAACAAATAAAATAATATTTTTATTTAGAATTTAATTTTTAAAAAATAATATAAAATGTTAGAAATACATTTGAAATATTTGTTTCATTTATAAATAACTCAGATATATATATATATATATATATATTTTAAAGTACTTTGTAGGGTGCAAGTCTATTATGTGTGGGGGTACATGTTCATTATGTGTAGGTGCAAGTTTAGTATGTGTGGTGTACAAGTCAAATCTATGTAGTGGTGCAAGTCTAGTCTATGTTAGCATGTAAGTTGAATCTATGTGAGGGTGTAAGTTTAGTCTATGTGGTGTGCAAGTCAAATCTGTGTGGGAGTACAAGTTTAGTCTGTGTAGGGTGCAATGAAATCTATGAATGGTGCAAGTTGAATTTGTGTAAGCGTGCAAATCTAATTTGTGTGGGACGCATGTTTGGTCTGTGTAGGGGTGCATGTTTAGTATGTGTAGGGTGTATGTCTATTCTGTATGGTGAGCAAGTCAAATCTGTGTAGTAGTGCAAGTCTAGGTTATGTTGGCGTGCATGTTGAATCTGTGTAGAGGTGAAAGTTTAGTTAGTGTAGAGTGCAAGTTTAATTTGTGAGGGGTGCAAGTTGAATTTGTGTAAGGGGTCCAAGTAGAAGGGGAATAAAGTATGAGCTTCTCTCTCTAGAATCTAGAGAGAGAAAATCCCTCCCAAGAAACATTGGTGTGATTGAGATGTTTAGGAACTATAGTTTCTGATCATGGTGTAGGTATTGGAGATCATCGGTCTTGATGGTCACTAATTATGTATGTTTTGACGTTTTTCTGGTCATGAGGTGGTGTCACTCCGGTGGTTTTCAAGGTCTTGTAGATGACCTGGGTGCTGAGTTCATATCGGAACTCGTATAAAACTCATGTTGCTCCGGCGCAATTCAAACTCCGACGTCATTGCTACAGTGTGTTTGCATCGAAGGCATTGGTCTTTGATGCTCTGAACGTCGTTGCCAATTGCTTCAAGTTGATTGGAGAAGGTTTCAGGCGAGCTCATTTGTGGTTGTCTAGTAACTGATCTCTAGCTTTGGTTTGCTGGTCATCTTGTTTGGCCTATCGTCGCCGGTGATGCGATTGTGAGCTTGGAATGATATACGTTTGTCTAAGGGACTTCGTGAAGCTGGGTGGTACTGGTATAGGGACTGTACGACACCAGCGATTTGAGCTGGGTTAGTGGTCTACGCGCATGGGTATTTCGCTATGAGCATTGATGGGGCATCACTGGGTTTCTTATGCTGGTGCTAAACTGGTTGCAAGGTTGGTGGAGCTTTGGTTTTGGGTTTTTGTCGTCCTTCGAATCTATTTGGTGGGTGTTCCGGTTGGGTGGTGCCATCGTCGTTGCTGTGGCTCGCCGTATAGATGGTTTCTGGCGCTGTCGCTACACTAGTAGGAGGCTAATATGTCTACAG